GGTGGTCCCCCAGCACAAAGAACTCCTCTAACCTAAAGGGGCTGCAAAGGGTCTGTCATGGTTTATTCTCTGACCACAGATGTCACATTCCCCCAGAACTGTTTGCAAACTTATAGCAAACTCTGCCTGGTACAGGGTCCCCTTTTCCATACTCCATTAGACCAGCATTTCCTAGCACCTAGGACACCTCTCTGGTGGGTGGAGTAGGGTCCCTGTCCTCAGCTCCCTGGGGACACCTCTCTGGTGGGGCGGAGCGGGGTCCCTGTCCTAGCCCCCGACCTCCAGGTACCAGCAGTACCTCCCCCTCTAGGCTGTGAAACCCCAGTCTGTTCTAGGCATTGTCAAATGTCACCTGGGGGGGAACCACCCCATTTCTGGACTGAGAACCTGAAGGCCCCTCGGACAGGTGAGCCTGGGATCCATCCAGCCCTGGGCAAGATGAGGAAAAAAGATATGAGAGGTGTCCTAGGTGCTAGGAAATGCTGGTCTAATGGACGAGCCAGCTGAGAACCTCGGCCCAGGACAGTCCGTGGCTTTCTGAGCGCTGTTTGGGTTTCTCTCCTCCGCTGGAGAACGATCACGTGTGTATCATTTCAGCAAGCGCCTCCCTTCTGAAATTTGAATGACAGCTGTCAGAGCCCTGGTGGGCTCTGATGTCCTCTTTATTTGGGTCAGGGGAGGAGACCAGTGAGGAGGGGCACAGAGCAGACCTGTCGGCCGGACAGAGCACGGTTGTCATGCTGGGCGGGACACTCTGTCCACCACCACCCAGACCGGGGCTTCCCAGGCTGGGCCTGAGCACACGGTCGCTCTTCCCCAAGGGTCCCCAGTTCTCATGACGGTCACGGGGATCTCACGTCACAGTCCGTGTGTGTCCACACTGGACCCACACACAAACCCGTAAAGCAGGGGCCAGCCACACTCAGAGAGGTAAAGTGACTTGCCCTAGGTCACCCAGCAGCAAGAGGCACAGCCAGGACTCAAACCCAGGGCTCTGTCCCCGGCTCCTGTTCCCTCATGTCCCCACCGCGGCATCCTCTGACACCGCCCGAGCTCTGAGTTTGAGGATGTGCTGCCTCTCTGAATCTCCACCTGGAACCCTCCGGGCGAGCTGGTCACCCTGGGATTCCCAGCATTGGGGCCGAGGCCCATAGGGGAGCTTGGCCTTGGAAGCTGAGCGAACACGCAGGGCAGGTTGGAGGGGGAGGTGCTTGGGAAACCTGAGCGGAAGTCGGAAGGGACACACTCTGGGGAGAGGAGGGTCTCTGGGGCTGGAGAACCTGCCACGGCTCCCCCTCTCCGAGGCGCTGAGGCCTTGGGACAGCTGTCCTGTCCATGTTGGGCAGACTCCCCTGTTCTGGAGACTTGGCACGTGTCCGCCCAGGTCTCGCTGGGACCCTGACACGTCGCCGGAGCTCTCCTGGGCTCCTACAGGAAGGGCCTCTGTAATCAATGTGCCACCCACACTCCCCTGCGCCCAGCTGTGGCAACACCAGATGCGGAACCCCACCCTTTCCTCAGTTTTCCATTAAAATCCAAACACTCGAACTGGCCCCCTGGCTGGTGGTGGAGCTGGATCCCACATGGCTGGATCCCCATGTGGCTGGAGTCCTCGACCCGGTGGCTTGAAAAACACACTGGGCACGTGTGCGGGCATGCTCCCCGCCTCAACACGGCAGAGAAAGGAAGAAGGAGCTGCAGCGTGACCAGGTCCCACTGGGGGTGACCCTCCGCCTCCACCTCTGTCTCTCTAGTGAGCACAGGCTCCATCTGGCGGAGCGTGGACTGTTCTGCATTCGCTCATGCATACCCTGACACCCCGACACCCCTGCACGTGGCCTTCCTTCTCCCTGATGACCTCAAGCTTTGGTGAGGACAGGCCTGTGGGCAGCAGCCCTGGCACTGGTCGCTCTGTGGTAGACTGTCACATTATGCACCCAGGGGTCCCGGGTACCAGTAATGGGGACGGACTGCCTGGCCCACTGGAGGACATGGGTCCGGAGGGACTGGAGACTCTAAGGAATGCGTATGCCCAGCACCTCTGGGAGTCAAGAGGAGCCCGGGAGCCATGTCATCAGAGCAGTCTCCGTGTGCACTGCCCTGGTACCTGCCGCGGGTTGTCCTGGGCACACTGTGAGCACGATAGCGGCCCTTCAGGGTCATTGCAAATATTTATAAAATCTGCCCCGAAAGGCACCGCAACTGCTGTTACACCACATTCCTAGCCTGAATAGAAGCAGAGTCCCCAGGAGAACTGGCCCGCGTGACTCTGCTGGCCACGTGGGGTACATTATCTGGGCTCGGCTGAGTCCAGGCCTTCAGATCCACGACTTTGGCAGTCAGGACCATGTGCCCAGTTACAGGCCCCTCTGGGGAAGTGCCGATGGAGTCTGTGACCCTAAGAGATCCCAGGGCGTCCTCAGTGGGATCTTCCAGTGGGAATCCTAGGCGTCCATCCCGGCTGACCGATACTTTCCCATGACTTCCCCAGGGACCTGGGGGCCTGACGACTGTCTCCGGCTAATTTGCAAGGCACGTGGGCTAAAAATCTTCCCAGCATGCTTTGGTCATGAGGTGGAGCTCAAGGACAGTTCCACTTCCAGACGTCTCCTACATCTTTCCAAATTCCAAAGTCTCGAGTGACTTACACATTTCGATAGGATCCAGGGTTGAATGATCCTTTTTTAAATTTTTTTAAAATATAGATGAAGAAACAGCAAACATTCAAAAGAGGCCTGACTTTATCCTTACTCAGGGATCTTTGCAAGGATTCTCTGTGACTCCCAGTTACAAGTTCCAAATCTCAGCTATGTCCAGGACAGAAAACCCTTTCTCTAAAGAGATGGCATTTCTTGAACGAACTTGGAGTCGAGCTCCAGCAGACTGGAGCTTGTCCTAGGAGGAGGGAGTCAGAGCGGTTTCCATGGGGACAGATTTTGACATTACCAGCTGCAAATGCTCACCACCCGAAGATGACAAAACTCCAGTAACTTGGAAGCTGTTAAGGATCGCCTTCGGGCAAATTTTAATTAAAATTAGATAGCATATATGAAAAGCGTCTCATTTGTACTCTATAAGAGAGTTTGGGAAGCACAGCTCTGGAGCCTCGGGACTGTGGCAGTAACAATTATCTTGCAACTTTTCACAGCAGAATCACAACATGTTAATTTGTTAATGAGTCAGTCAGAGCAGAAGAGAGCTCCTGACGGCAGGGAGGAAAACATACAGATTACATTTCCATTTCTATTTTTAAATAAATTAAATGTTTCAAGTCAAACTCAAACTTCACGGGAAACTTTGAATTCCTAGTGATGTTTTTTGAAGCTCAGCTTGCCCGCAGAGCTGAGTATCATGATTCCTGGGATTTGTCCGGTAAAGCTAAGTGGTCCCTTGTTTTGAAGGTGGCTGTGATTCCGTAAGTGACCAGAGTGACCGCTGAGACGGAGGGGAGGGACGCTGGGAGCACAATAGAGGGAGCACCCATCAGAGTCCTGCGCTGGCCACCTTAAACAGGGCTTCCTCCACACCTTGCTGGCCTCTCCCTCCGCCTGGCCCCAGATCACCGTCTCAGACCAACGTACCAATGGCGGCCTCAGGACCCTGTTGCAGGTGTCATCTCTCCGTCTCTCTGTCTCCCTCCATGTGTCTGTCTTTCTACTCATGGAAGAAGTAAGTAAGAAGAAGAAGGGGAAGAGGAAGAAGAAGGAGAGACTTCTGCAAGGTTCCCGAGAACAGAAGCCCAGCGAGCTTGTTGCTAGAACCCTTCTGAGGATCCACGGGGGACGAGAATCGAGTGACAAGCGCAGATATGGCACACACAGGTGTTACAAACACAGATGTGACACACAGGTTATGCAAAGCAAGGGGGATGGAACAGAAACGAGGGCAGTGAGAAACCGCTCCAACTCTGACGTCTAAGCAGGTTTCACCAGAGAAGGGCTGTCGCTGTCTTCCCCAGGGGTGAGGCCGGAGTGAGGACCGTGAGCAGCCACCGCAGAGCTACGGGGCGACATCGAGGGTGGCAGGTACCACGAGATTTCCACCACCTCTTAATGCTGCAACCACTTTAAAATTCTGTTTAATTTTTACCCTCCTGTATAGAGAAAGCATGGGAGTATCTATGAGGATAATACGAAGATTAAAGAAAGAAGTGAGACAGTTATTTTTCTTTTAATCATCAGCATCTACTCCTCGGCACGGCCCCTCCCCTCCTATGTGGTCAGGGTGGGCCTATCAGACCTTGGCCCTAGTCAGCAGAGAATCTAGCCAGCCAATGACGGTGCCCTATTTCCTTGGACACAGTGATTGGTCTAGGGATGGACCTCAGACCCAAGCAGACCAATCAGAGTCCTTCTCTGGAATTCAAATGTATTTATTGATCAAGGTGGTTGTTCAAAACTACAAAATGTTTAGAAAATAACAGGAAAAAAATCTAGGTGACCTCGGGTTTGGTGATGGCTTTTTACACACAACACCAAAGACATAGTAAGAAAGAAATAATTGGTAAGTCGGACCTGGTTAAAATGAAAAACTTCTACTCTGTAAAAGGTGCTGTCAGGAAAATGAGAAGGCAAATCATAGACTGGGAGAAAATGCAAGATACCTGAGAAAGTTATCCAAAATACATGAAGGGCCCTTAGAACTCAACAAGAAAATAAACACCCCGGTTAAGATACGGGCAAAGAGCTGCATGGCAGATAAGCTCCTGGAAGGACGCTCAGCATCAGATGACGGTGGGGATTGCCAATTGAGACCACAGAGAGATACCACTGCCGGCCTCGGAACACCGGACGCCCAGGACCCCGCACAGGCTCGTGGTCCATGCTGGCGGGAATGCAAGTTGGTGCAGCCCTTCAGGGGCGGTCCAGTTTCTTACAAAGCTAAGCGCAGGGTTACTGTACAATACAGGAACCACTCCTCTGGGGGCTCCCTGAGCCGGCTGAAACCTTGGGCCCGCACGGAAACCTGCACAGGCGTTTGTAACAGCCACCTTCGTAATTGCCTCCACGTGGGAGCGACCCCGACGTCCTTCAGTATGGGTGGGTAATACAGTGCGGTGCGCCCATCCGGAGTCGCCACTGATTAAAAGGGGGGAGGCAGAAGCAGAGAACAAGGCATTACTAAGGCGGACAGTCACCCTGTCATTCTCTGTGGTGGGTCCCGGCCCATACGGTTGTCAGAGCACAGAGCAGACCCACCTGCAGTGAACGCTAGAGGACACCCTGGGCTTTGGGTGACTGGGTGCTCATTGTCCTTGGGAGTAAACGGTGAGGACACCCTTGGGTTGGGTCACCAGTGCCTGACTTTTCTTGCCTTGTCTCCGGCAGAGGCCTAACCAAGAATGAGACACAGAAAACCAAGCTGAGAGCCTGAGGGAGGAAAAAAGAGACAAAGAGAGCCCTTTCCCCCACCTGAGCCAGGAGCCCTTCACTGAGTCCTCACACAGCCCCGGGGAGGAAACTCCATTCTCATGGCCCCATTTAGCAACGGAGGAAAGGGAGGCGTTGGGAAGGACCTCCCTGCTCCCAGCTCGCGCTCCCACCCCCGATTTCATCATCCTGTGGGTGCCGCGTGAGACCCCAGTGCGAACCCTGGGTCAGAGGCTGGCGCTCCAGCCCGGAGGACGCCAAGGCTGCCCTCTGCGCGGGGAGGGGGAGGTGGGCCTGTGCTTTGGACATGTGCCCCCAAAGTCATGAGCTGGCACCGGTTCGTATCAGGAGGGGACTAAGTGGAGATTGAATCAGATTGTGGGCGCTGGAAGGTGGAGCCTTTGAGAAGTGAGTAGGTTCCGCGTGGGCCCCAGGGTTGACCTCCTGGGTTTGTAAGGAGAAGAAGCAGAAACACGCTCTGCTCTGCTCGGCTCCGCACGCGCCTGCCCGGCCCTCTGCCGTGTGGTCCACAGCAAGAAGACCCTCGCCAGAGGCGGCCGCCTGACCCTGGCCCTCCGACCCGGAGCTGAATGAAGCCCTGTTCTATAAATCACCCAGACTTGGGGACTCGCTGTTACTGGCAGAGGACAGCAGGTCGAGGTGGGCGGAGCCAGGGCGGGGCGTGGGCGGGGCCGGAGCAGAGCTGCGTTTTGCAGGAGCTGGGGTACTGGATGGATTCTGGGCGGATAAATCAGGACGAGGGAGGGGGGCAGGAGGGGATCCTGTCAGGATGGTGTTAGTTGCAAGTGAGCAAAATCCACGTGCAAGGACCATCTGGGACAGGCGGAGTCACAGCTAGAAAGCAGGTGCGAGCTTCCTTGCGCCGGGCGGAGGGGAGTGGGAAGTTACCGAGGAAGTGGTTTCTGCTCAGGGTGATGAGCAGGTTCGGGAACCAGGCCGGGTAATAGCTGCACAGAATAGCATAGTGAGTGACTGGCCCTGAGTTCCGGCTATTTTATGCGGTATGCATTTTCCCGGAATAAAATATTTTACACGATCTGCGAGCGTCATACTAAAGAAGTCCATCCTATCACAGGGTCAAAACCCCGAGAAGCCCTCGGAGAGAGGCTCCAGGCCGCCTTGCCTCGCCCCTCCCTGGGGTGCTGTATTGGCCCGAGGCCCCCCTTCCACAGCTCAGGGTCTCCTCTGCGATGTCTCAGCAGTCGCGCTCAAGGTGACCTAGGACGAGTGAAAAGAGAAGGACCTTCTGGACAAATTCTTCCAGGGGGTTGACAGCCAGTCTCAGGGAAAACAAAAATGAAAAGCAAACACACAGGATGCTGTCCTGGCTCAGCTCGATCCCCCGCGGTGAAGCTGGGGCCCTACGGTGCTCTCGGGAGGGAGCTTCACGCTAGTTCCAGTTCTGGGGAGCAGGGCTTGCAGACACAACTGTTGCAACATCATTTCAAAATCAAGCAGATGCCCCAGGATCTGATAATGAAGGGTCGAATTAAGAAACCATGGCACCGTCGCCAGTCAGGAGGTGCTTGGCAGCTGCAAATCAGTGCTGCAGACCCAGCCATAATGCCCACCGTGCCCTGGTGGTGACACTTCACAGGTGTCACCGTTCGGCAGCCCTGTGAAGTAGGTGCCCCGGACACCCCCACTTACAGAGGTGCAGAGGGATGACAACTCACCCAGGCCAGACAGGCACCGGCAGACAGGGTTTCCAGAGGCACGCCTCACACCTGCTCTCTGTTCTCTGAAAATGTACCCACTGAGAGGGAAGGATACTCATAACTTAGTGAGAAAAACGAAGTGTAAAACATTGTGTATTTCTTTTTTCTTTTTTTGAGAGAGATTTTTACTATAGGGCATGCACGCTTGCTGGAGAGACAGAGACAGAGAGACAGAAAGCAAGAAATCACCACCTCCTAGGAGGAATGGCTACACTGCAATCCCTTCTCCATTCTCTTCTCAGGATTTTGGGCATGCATGCACATTCACTGGGTGTGAATTTCAAGCTGCCGGGTCCAGGACTCGTACCGTGGTTGACCGTGGGGGAGTCCAGTGCCTTAGACACGACACCATCATCTAGCCCCAGTATTGTGTGCTTCTGAAAGTACTTCATCAGAATTTGTACATCCGTGAATTCATAGGCACAGACTACGTCCCCTCTTCCGAGAGAGAAGCCCCCCCCCCCGATGTAGACAGCTGGTGCCAACGACAGGGACAGAGAAAATAGAGCGTGAGCACAGAAACAGTTAAAGGTTTCATTTCCAAATAAAACCAAGGCGGAATTTTTGGAGTCACCAAAGCAAGGAAAGAAAGAAAAGCCCGCCTCTCTGAGCCGCCCCTCGGTGAAAGAGCCTGTTGCCCTGCGTGTTTGTCTAACCTTTTCTTTCACCAGGAAATCACCACAGGATTAGCAGTTTTCTGCACAGAAACTCCGGGTGACCTTCTCTGGGTACACTCTGAGTGGCACCGTCCTCGAACGGTGTTCATTTCTGCCGTAATGGATTATGCACGGGGAAGGAGAGCTTTCGGAGCAGTGCGTCTTCCCATCTCGGGCTCCGCCGCTGCTCTTTGGTGTTCACCTCCTTCTTCCATAGCCCTCCACTTGTTCGCCCGTCTGTCCATCCATCCATCCAAAGTGTCCGTGTTCCTATTACACCTTGATGGGCGCTCATGGAACTCAAGGGTGCGGGGCGGGGGACTCCCTTCCTGCAGCTCTGCTTAGCCCTGAGCAGCTCTGCTGTGTACCTTGACCCTTCATGGCGAGAGCTGGAAGAGGACCCAGTGATTTATTCTCGCTGTCCCCTGAGCATCTACCAGTGCAGGCACAGTGCCAGGAGCCGAGGACACAGGATCATGGCGCTCACAGGCTCACGGGGCCTGGCTAGTCAGGAAGATGGCTTTGATCATAGAACCATGGGAATAATGCCAAGTTACTACGTAAGAGACACCATGGGCAGGTGAGAGGCAGAGACTGTAAGTGTTTACCTGACCCAGACCTGCCATGTGCATCCCGCAGAGACAGAGACCCCATGGCAGAATGGGACAGGGCGGGAAATGACTTCAGCGCAAGGAAGCGCAGGACCTCCCGTGCCTCGGTTTCCCCACCTGTAAGAGGCAGATGGCACTGGTCTCACAGTGTAGGGCCGCTATGAGAATGGACTGAGGTTCGCCTCCCCCTCAGGGCTGTGCATACTCACTGCGTAGAAGGTACGTCTCTGTCCCAGAGCCCGGTAGCTCTGAGCGTACCCTGGCCATGCTGCCAGCCGAGACGGCAGTCCTGCAGCCCTCGGACAGATGGGATCAGCCCGCGTGCCTGGCTGGTACTGGTGGTCCTGACATGTGTGAGCTGGAAGGTGTCACCAGAGGACATCGTTGCCAGTGCGGTTTGAGGAAGCCGGGAGCTCTGACGCTGTCCTAGGCACCCCGTCCCCGTCCCCTGGCTGTGCTGGAGGGTGTGGGTCCTGCTGGACCTTCACCTGTCATGGGATTTGTGTAGCCCCCTCCCCTAAGAGCCCTAAACACCCACCATGAGGTTCAGAAGGGTCACCCATTCCTGTCCCTGCTCTGGGCGGGGCCCACCATCCAGCCTCCCACTTTCAGGGAGAAGCCAACCTGGCCCAGCCAGACCTCCTGGCCCCCTCTTCTCCACCCCAGGTGAATCTTGTGTCCAGGGGCTTCAAGAGGGCAGTTCCAAGAACTCCAGCTGTGTCCCCAGCTCGCTCGGCTCTCGGTTTCCATCGCCCGACTTTATCTCATCATGACAGTGAATTGGGCGGAGAAATTTGCAGAGCTGGATCCAAACGCGCAGGGAGAGGGCCTTGCAGAGAAGTTCCTGTGGCCCCCACAGAGCCACGTCTCCCTGGGTCACAGTTCTCTCTCTCTCTCTTTTATTTTTTTAAGAATTATTTTATTTAAATTTATTTATTTATTTAAATTTGACCAGAGAGAAACAAAGTCAGAGAGAATGAGAGACAGAGAAAAGCAAGAGAGAGAGAGGGAAAGTGAGAAAGCAAGTCACCAGGTCCAGGACTTGAACCACGGTCAGCCATGTGAGAGACCAGAGCTGGGCCGCATTTCTACAAATGCCAACCCAGACAGCTGGGTGTGCGGTTCTAGGGTGTTGCTGGGTGGGGTGGCGGGCAGAGTCGGAATTCACTCTAGAGGCACCAGGCTGCTTGGGGTCACGCTGGCACCCCTGCGCCCTTGAGAGGGAGACACTAAACCCAGAGCAGTGACAAATCCCGTCATAGGTCCCTGAAGTGGCAGCAGAAGGAGCCCACTAGGACCTGACCCACTTGCTGAGCTTTTATTTATTTATTTATTTAGATTTTTGCTATAGGGCACATGTGCTTGCTGGAGAGACAGAGAGACAGAAAGCAAGAAATCACACCCCGGGTGGATGGCCACACCAAAGTCCCTTCTCTTCCATTTGTCTCTCGGGATCTTGGGCACACACGCGCACACACCCCGTCTGAGTTTTAAGCTGTCAAGTCCAGGACTTGAACTGCAGCTGACTGCATGGGAGTCTGGTGATGTAATCATGCCATCTGCTGGTCCCGAGGCTGAACTTTCTTAGGGAGAAATGTCTTCAAATCTCACTTTGCTTTGGGGTCAGACAGATCTGTGGTAACTCTACGCTGTGAGGTCTGGGGTGGGGGTACCAGCCTTCCTGCACGTCCGTGAGCGGGGAGGGTGGATGCTGTCCTGCAGAGGCTCACGGGGGCCCAGGTAGGGTGAATGTGGCCACGAGTGATTGAAACAAGGGTCTCCCCAGCTGACACCAAGCAGAGGAGACTGTGTTAGCCTGCAGGTGCTTCCCGTAAACACTCGCTGAGCAGCTGCTACACCCCAGGGCCTTGCCCAGTGCAATTGGGACCAGGCACTGTGTGCCCTGGTACCCTGGAGACTGAGCAGAGGACGCAAGACTGTCGGCTTCTCACCTCGTCCTCTGCCCTCGCTGGTACTGAGCCCTGTCTGGAGGCACTCTGAGTTGTCCACGTTGTGGATGGGACGCTGCTAACAGCATCTCGTGGGTGGAGGTCAAGCATGCTTCTGAATCTATCGCAGTACCCCAGAGGACAGCCTCCACCCCAGA